ATTGAACCGCTTCGACCGGCAATTTACTATCGCGGTTTGAACCGCAGTTCAAACCCAAGTTTAACTGTAGTTTTATAATTTTAACAAATTATTTGTTTCAAAAATTAAATCTATTTTTAAACATTACTACTATCCTCTTCATCAGATATGATATTTTAAATTTAAAGTTGAAGTTTCTCCAATCTCACTATATGTGATTGCATAAATACTGCACTTCTGATTTCATTATTTCTTGTAAAATATTCATCTACTTTAAAGTAGTTCTAATGATTTGTGAATTTGAACGATTGATGATGATGATGATGATGATGAAATGGAAGGTACAAGTAGTGTAATGTCATGTATTCAAATTGAATTATCGATGAAATATTATTGAACAATTGAAGTTGAAGTGGTTGGCGAAAGTGCAGCAGTATCAATTCTTTCGTTACTTTGAACTTGACATTCTTGTGAAAAAAAAAATTTTAACTTAATTTTGTTAAACCAGTTTTGTTAAACTGAAGTTTGAATTGGGTAATGATGGTGGAATATAAATTATCAAGTTGAAAACACTATTATAAAGAAAAAATTTTCTAGGACCACGGGCTAGAGATGGGAATTTTTAAAAATCGATGCGCACTTGAACATCTCTACACGGGACCATTTGGTCTTCATCGATAAAAATCAACTATATACGTTTAAGGAAATGTAACGCGTAACCAACCAACACATTATTATTAAATCGGATTGTTATTTAGTACTATTCCATGACATTAATAATTATATTGATGCCTGTGAGAAAGAAATCACATGACCAATTCAAAAATCTTTTTTTTTCCCCCAAACTTAAAACGTAAAAGTAGTGTTCCTAATCGAAAATCAAATTTTTTACGAATATTCGAAAATCAATTTATTCAAGAATATTTGAATATATATATATGATTTATTTCGTAATTATTTCGGATACTCGTAATTATTGTATTATTTTGAATATGATCATTTCAAACATTTGTTATGAATGATTATCGATTGGTAACAAATAGTACTAACTTATTTGTGACTTATCCTACTATACAACAAAGATAATAAAGATGACATATATTTTTATAATAATTAAAATATTTGTTCAGAAAACATTTTCATTTAAAAAGTAATTCTTTCAAAACCCAAATGGAATTTGCAGAAAATTTTTTCCTAATACTTCAAT